ATATTACTATCCAGTTCCAAATCTTAGTAAAGTTAACGAATCTTAAATAAAACGACATGAGAGTTCTGGATTACACTGTTACCCATAATCCGGCTTCAATTAACAAACTGAAGTTTATACCCAATACACAAGCCAGAATCTATCTTGACTCAGAAGTAGGAGGATATCGCTTTGGTTATTGAAGTAAAAGGTACTAAGTTTGAATCTCAGTAAAATCTTCAACACAAGAATGATGATGCATCCAGCTGACGAGTTCCAAACAGAACAAGCAGTACATTCTGGAACCCTTTTCTTGACACTATCCAACCTAAATCAAAACTCCTGAGTAACTGAATTTGTTTGAACAAAATATTTCTCTTTTTGTAGGATGAAATAAAATTGACAAGTATCTTCAATTTTTCCTTGAATTGTGCAAATCTTAGTTTGTACCGTTTGAAGAACCAGTTTTCCTTAGGTTATATTACAAACCGTATGACTTTGTTGCATATCTGTTAGTGTGGAGCCATGATGACTAACTAAATGAAAAGAAATTTTCCTTCTCTATTCGTATTTGGTTTATCATTTCAGTTGGCTTTTACTTTTAAATACTTAAAACAGATACGTCTTTGTAAAATATCAAATAGACAATGAACAAACAATTAATACTATTCAAGCGACCTTTACATCTAAGAAAATCAATATCATTCATCCAACTACTGTACATTATACTTCAAAACAATATGATTTCATAAAATAAACATAATCATATTTAAACACTAACAACCTGTTCACTACTAGTCATATTTTAAAATAAACAGATAAATCAACACAAACGTGTAAACATTTACTCATCACTTAAATTCTCAAAGTGATAATAATTACTGAATTAGTAACATTGAACACTAAGAATTATAAACACAAGTTAAAATTTAATCGAATCAACTCTACGGAACTTGTCTGTTTCTGTTATAACTTGTGGCCTATGGGCCCTGTTAATGTATAACGTAATGATATCGCCAATTAGAGAACAGTGAATGATCGATCGGACCAATGACGAACAAAAACCCGTACGAGCAGTCTAGAGTCCTTATCGGTCCTGCGTACCGCCTAACCCAGCCTGATAAGTTTAGAACACCAATCTCAACCTCTGCAATATGAATCGTTTATTTTAAACATACTGTGTTTATATACCAACCAAAAAGACCACATCGTACCATAAAATAGGAAACAAAATTTGTACAAGATTAAGCCAAAAGTGTCTGTGAATGTGGGAGATAGTAACTGATAGACTGAACATAACTCAAGAATGGTAAATCGCGTTATAGTAGTCTACGAGTAAAAATAAAGCTTATGATAAGAGGAGAACGAATATGAATAGTTTATTTATTTAAAAATTATACGATAAAAATATACCTATAGTATTAGACCAGAAATAGATTCCAACAGTTATCATTCATTATTCTCATCGAGATATAACAGTTTCAAGCTGACTATTATCTATCACGAACTGATTTCACTAAGTATCACCAGTATATCGTTTCAGCTAATATAGACTGTTAGAGTATGAGGCAAAACTGTAAGTGTAATTTACTACTCAATGTTGATTAGTTAAAACCTCACTTTCAATAGATTATGTAGTGGCCAATTAAACAGAGAAAAATTTCTTTTCAAGCCCCTGATTCTTATTCCATCATATATAACTGATTATGTGATCATGTCACAAAATATCTCATAATTATGCAAAATAAAAAAGAAACGAATAACTATTTACATATACGAAACATATAATAATGAACAAATCTCAAACAAATCACATAATCGAATGTTAATATTTTAGATTTCTAACTGTTTTACTTCAAGATAGATTGGCCAGAGTTCTAGTGAAATATCACGTTCAACGAAATCGATCCAGTTTTAAGGTACGTGATTATCTACCAATGAAATTAAATAAAGGTCATGTTATATTTGACTGAACTTAAAAAAGATCAAACTTTTAATATTGACTCATTAGTTTGTATACAATGATTCGAGCTTTAATAACTTACTGATTACTTTCAAGTTAATAAATGTAAAGCGATGAATATTGAGGTTTCTTAAACCTGAAATCAACTGTTGTTCAATGATCCCAGATTCCTAATGGTTTCAGAAGTGATCTTTTTCAACGATGAAAACCATATTTCACAGAAGTAAAGTAAATGATTTGAATGTTCAACTATACATATGTGTATGGCCACACATATATTCGAACCCTTAGTTACGTGTCTTTTTGCACTTGAATATTGGGACGAAAGCAAGTGGAAGGTAGAAATTTATTCATTCAGATAATCATATTGCTTATGTTATCTTGGTATTATTGGTATGATCATTACATACTGTGAGGTATTAATCGACTTATTTGCTGTAATTACAAGCACTCAGGATAAATATCATTCATTTTTAGCTAAACCACTAGAAGTTCAGTAGTTTAGATCCGTTTAAAGACCCTTAAGTTGGGGTGTTAAGTAGTTACAACCAGTCGGTAGGGAACCCTATATCTACCTAGAGTTTGTGCTAGCTGGGACTACTCAGCAAGATGTACTGACAATCCTGAAAGAACTTATCCTTTCTGGTAGATTTCATTTTGGATTGGTTAGTTCTCACAGTCTGAGACATCAACAATAATTATTTGTGACTGACCTCCCGTAAGACGGAAGATTTACATCAATTGATTACTGAGTAACAGTCAATCCATTATTTCCTTAGTCTTTAGTAGTGACCGAATTTTATTGATCAAACTGAACAATCTGATATCAAAACATACTGCATGTGGGATTGAGACACATATACCAGTGTCTACATTGAAACATAATTAATAGAATTCAGCTACCACAACAAAATTAAGTTTGAAAAAAGCTGGATATTTTGATTGATTTTAACACAATATGTGCAACTTACAGCTTACTGCTTGTGTATGAAATTCATTACCGATTTGCGCACTACTGAGGAATCCTATACTAGGACAAAACTGCCGTTCAATGTTTCCAGGATTCCAGTGATAGTCTAGCTTAGATCAACTAGTGAATTCAACTGTAAAAGTACTAAATTCTCCACAACTCCCCCTATTGAAAACCATATACATATATATGCCTCAGTCTCTCTCTGTCTTTTCACTTAGTCATGGAGCCATACTATGAGTTTCAGATAATACTTGAGAACAGTTGCTTCATAATGTCTCATTCTCTGAAATCCAAGATTTAATTCGATTCTTCAGCTTAAAATATATTTATTTTTTAAAGTTAGATATGAGATTGTAATGGAAGAATTGTCATGTTATCATGACTTGATAAAATATTGAGGTTAAATAAAATTCCAAGTCTAGATAAATAATAACAAGACAGCTGTTGCATATTTACTCTTTAAATTTGTCAACAAACATTTCATTTTGATTTCAATCTTTTTTGAGATAATCTGCAATATGGTTTCATGAATTCAACTGTTTAACACTGAATAAAATGCACTTGGAATTGATGTGACATAATCTTAGTTATTAACTTGGTGAACAAAATATTGTGATATTTATCAGTTGATTTGAACAGTAGGTTTAAATTAAAATATTCTTGAAGAAGTGGACTCTCTGGTCATTTCATTCCATTTCACTAGTTTGTCCAGAACTGTTTTGTTTAAATCTTCCAATTGTTATTTAACAAGTACGAAACAAATATGATAGTCAAATCTTAATTTGAATAACTTGCGAATGATCTATAAAACTTGTATCTTACAACAGACTACGATTTAAATAACTTCGAATCGTATTTATATTTGTATTTAGGGTTTTTTAATTAGACTAGTCATCTGACTACAAAAGAACACCTCTCCTGGAAGCCAGTTGTTTTTTTATATCGCATATCAGTTTCGTTAATAATTTGGTTTCGTGATCATAGTATATCGTGTACTATCTAATAATTTGTTGACCACTTAAGCAGCTTAAATGTGATTAAAACCAACTTAGATCTACTAAATAGTACTAAAATAGATCTCCTCTGATATCGATACACTTTTTATTTCATCATTATGTAATCTTTCAAATATGAAACATTAACGAATTCAAACAGGAAAAAGCACACTAAAAAAGTGCAGTAGCTAATAAATATTATCAATCAAATATATGCTGTAAAATCAAGTAACAAACAGGGTGAAAATAATCAATAAACAGGAATTCGTATGTTAAACAACGTCAAACAATAATGTATGCAACTAATCAAAGTGTGCAGGTAATTTTTTCAACAAGTGATATGATTTAACAGGTTATAAAATAACCTATGGTTATAACATGTGGTTCAAGGAAATACTAATAACATAAAAAATTATGTATAAACCGTTAGCTTCGATTTTATTTACTATTACCTCCCAAAGGTACTCTTTAAAATCACTACATTTATCATGCCAGATAATCTCGTAATAATTAGTACGTTCCTTGAATATAATTGTACTTAACTCCACCAGTAGCGCTTTTAAGGTTACTGACAGCCTCAAGCCCGGATAAGGGAGGAAGGTTAGATATGTGGTCAGCAATCTCATCCCGTAGAACACGACCTAGTCAAAAAAATAACCAGAAAATATCATTTAAACCATTCAATTTCATTATCATGAAGCTCAAATTAAGTCAACAAGATCACTGTCTCAGAAGTAGTCATTAGTGATCATAGCTGTCCAATGCATTTTCCATTAGAAATGGAGGTTTTAGAGTTCGATCCCTGATGGAATCAAGGTTTCGACCTCATGCAACGTTCCATTCTAGGACTATACAGGTCTCCACCACTTCCCAATTTCCATTGATTTACCAATTACATGTAATACACTACACAGAACATTAAGATATCAGTCTCTTGAAATTTAGCGAAATTTCCTTTATCAAATTCAAGAAGTTTCAGTTATTGTAGGATTGTAAATGATTAGTGGAGAAATGTAAACAAATGTTTCTATATTCAATTTTTGGTTATTTATCTAACTAATCAACAGGAAAGAGAAGTTATTCACCTACATCACAGAATTAATATGTTTGTGTTCAGAAACCTTATTGAAAAATGAAAACAATATGTATTTGACTGATGATGATGATGATGATGATGATGATGATGATGATGATGATGATGATGATGATGATGATGATGATGATGATGATGATGATGATGATGATGATGATGATGATGATGATGATGATGATGATGATGATGATGATGATGATGATGATGATGATGATGATGATGATGATGATGATGATGATGATGATGATGATGATGATGATGATGATGATGATGATGATGATGATGATGATGATGATGATGATGATGATGATGATGATGATGATGATGATGATGATGATGATGATGATGATGATGATGATGATGATGATGATGATGATGATGATGATGATGATGATGATGATGATGATGATGATGATGATGATGATGATGATGATGATGATGATGATGATGATGATGATGATGATGATGATGATGATGATGATGATGATGATGATGATGATGATGATGATGATGATGATGATGATGATGATGATGATGATGATGATGATGATGATGATGATGATGATGATGATGATGATGATGATGATGATGATGATGATGATGATGATGATGATGATGATGATGATGATGATGATGATGATGATGATGATGATGATATGATGATGATGATGATGATGATGATGATGATGATGATGATGATGATGATGATGATGATGATGATGATGATGATGATGATGATGATGATGATGATGATGATGATGATGATGATGATGATGATGATGATGATGATGATGATGATGATGATGATGATGATGATGATGATGATGATGATGATGATGATGATGATGATGATGATGATGATGATGATGATGATGATGATGATGATGATGATGATGATGATGATGATGATGATGATGATGATGATGATGATGATGATGATGATGATGATGATGATGATGATGATGATGATGATGATGATGATGATGATGATGATGATGATGATGATAATGATGATGATGATGATAATGATAATGATAATGATGATAATGATGGCAAACTCCTTCGATTACAGTAGTAGCTCATCACACTTCGTCAAAAATCAGTACTCCAATATTCAATCAATTCATTTCACATCATGCCCCAAATCATACACTTCTACTATCAGAAATCTAATCACATTGCACACAGATCTCCAACTCCACTAAGTTGTCAGTAAGTAGAACATGTTGTGATGTTGCAATGAATTCATGATCACTGTTAATCGACCTCAACAACTTGTATCATCATCAATAATTTACAGTAGAATAAAATGTTTTCTGGTGTATGAACACCGATCGGATAAGTCACTTGACAGACTGACATTCTAAATATGTGTGGAACTTTAGAAATGTATGAATCAAATGAGGAACAGTGTATTTTTGAGAGTGACGTTTTTGGTATGGTGACAGATATTCATAGCGGCATAATTAATTATATAGATTGATAGATTTCATTCATCTTGGACGTTCGTAATGAGATTAGTTTTAGTTAAATTCCTCATGTATTTTTCGACAATACATTTAAAAGTAAAAGGAAGTGTCTCGATGATTCTAATTATAAACTGATAATATTTAATGTATCACTGAGAACGAGAAAGTAATACTGACCTTAAAACTTTACATTCACACTTTTAAAGACTGTAAAAACCTGACAATTAACAATAATCTTTTCAGTCATTGAGTTGAATTTTAATTATTCATATATTTAAATTTAGCCAACTGACATTAAAACCTGGATTCATTTATTTCGAAGCAACATGAAACGTAAATCATTCAACTTTCCACTTACTGAATATCAAAAACTTTTATCCCTATTAACACATTCTCTTTTAAGTTGAATTTTCAACAGAACACCTTCAAATTGATTGATTAGTAAATTTCGCATAAAGTGGAATACTAAAAATTATCTAGATTAAAAATAAATAACTTCGATGCATTGTACATTGTCTAATTCATCATTAACGTACAATATGGATTGACTGCTATCTATTAGTGGCATGAAAAATATTCTGTTCTAACAGTAAAAGATTACATTAAAACATTCTACTCAAGTTTATCCAGAAAAAGAAAAATGTTATATTTAAATTGTAAAGAGAAAAACAACAACAACAATGACAGAAAAACCACTTTCATCTATGTGCAGATAACTGTAACCAGTATACACAAAGTAAAACCTACATTGAATAATGATTTATACACTTGTAAATTGTTGTCTTGTCAGTTAAAAACACGTAACATTTTATTACAACAAAAGAAAGAAAGAAAAAAAAAAGAGAACAATATCTACTATATTGGTCAACTAATTGATTATTCACTACAAATATTGAACATAAACACATGTGTTTACATCAAAATTATTTTCTTCTATTTCAATGGTATATTCATGTTTATTGAAAATAAAATGCAAAAATTGAAAATCTGAATAAATTTCAGTCACGAAATTCTTCAATAAAGCAACAAATAAAAAGAATTGAAATATAAAACTACACAGAAACAAATGACTATTCTATAGAGAAAGAGAGAGAGAGGGAGAGAAGGAAAAAGAAAGAAAACTAAAGAGATATTCAACAATATAAATACGGACATTAATGCACTCACGCACACATCAACATACACAAACACACTCATGCTAATTGTTTAATAAGGTTTCATTCAATTGAATTTAAAATAGACAATCATGAAAACAATTCAAACAGAGCGCTTATTTTTAACTGTGTATAGAAAATAAATAAAATCAACAAAAGAAAAGAAAAAAAAGAAGTCAAACAAACAAACAAAAATATCCCGTATCTCTTTAATAATTCGATAAACAAGAAGTGATACAAGATTTGTATTTAAAACTGATATACTATATAGCCTGAATGTATTAAAGAAACTAGTATAATTGATACGGTCTCTAACATCAAATAGGAAATAATATATTGATATTACTTAATTATGTTTATTGTTATTAATGCTTTGCATAATAAACTAAAGTATAAAAAAAGATTTGAGATTTATTAATAAAATTGATTTTGAAAAGTTATTGTATTCGGGAAAATTTTGACTTTACATTCCTTGGAGCCGTAGGAGTACCTTCAACTTCACATTATAATTTCAGGTTGTTATCAATAAAACTAGGTGGGAAAATGTTATGTACAAGTGTTTGTCTGATTCTACTCAATCCATCATTCATCGATTATTATGTTCAATAATACTTGAAAATGTTTGATTATTTGTGATAATTTATTTAACCACGATACACTCCTATACTCTACCACAAATTAACACATGTAAAATTAAATATTAATGCATTTGTACAGTCGAAGTGAGTAGCATCGTGGAAGAGAAAAATTACTCAATTTATCTATGTACCACAGCCAATTTAATACAACAACTTATTATAGTCATATTCGATAACTTTACAAAGTGGTTGCACCACTCGACTTTCACTCACTAGGTTGTAATTTCAAGCAGCAATCAGCTTAACTCTATGTAAAATACCAAATAGTATTGTAGTGAACGAGGACTTAAGTGTGAGTGAGAGGGGGTGCAAGTGATGAAACCAAATGAATGTGTTGAGTGAAATTACCTGATGATTTCGTAAATTATGAAAGTCATGCATTACATGCATTATTTGCACATCTTCCTTCAGTTGTCCCATACATATTTCATGATTCTTCCAATTCAGTCATTATTCCATTTTCTCTCTGTTTCCCTTACTGTTGTTTTCAATTGAATTTTGTGTTGGTAGGCATTCCATTTCTGTTGGTTGTCACATACTACTTATATCTGTCGACATACACCACAATTTTACCAGACAATTTTGTCTGATTTCCTTTATCACTTTTAATTTTATCGCTGATGACATTCTGATGACACTAACAAAACAATCCATTATTATTTAATAGCATAGCCTTTCAGCAAAATAATTTTTACTCTACGCTGAGTGAACTTACTTATCATTTGATTATCATAACCCATGAGTATAATACATGCTTAACACTACATGATATTCATAGCTACTCTATCCAACGAAGTCATCATAATTATCATCTATATACTACTCACAAAAGGAAGATGCTATAATTTCGAATAATAATAATAATAATAATAATAATAATAATAATAATAATAATAATAATACAGTAATTCACAAATAATAAACTACCAGAAACTTTATTTGGATTGATTGTCAGTAGTAAAACAATTTACTGTTTAATTCATTCATATTTCTGCTATTTTTGTTTTCATCACTTCCTTTCAATGTATAATTCTACATTATTAAAAATGGACAATTGTTATCACATTATCAGATTTATAGTTTCATTTAAGGAATGAATATAATAATCACAAAATTATAGACATTTTTTCATATGATATTGACTATTTATTGTATGAACCGTGGATACTGGGTAGAGTTATTGATTTATACATGTAGGGGTGAAAATATTATTGTATATTAATTCATTAGTAAAGTTATACTAACAACAAAGTCTTTGGGAAGAGAATAAAAAGCACGGAATTTAAAGACTGAAAATTAATTAAACTAAATAATAATCGCTTTATTTATTATAATTGACTATGAGTAGGGATGAAATAAAAAGTGAACATGATGGGAATAGATAGTTTATAAAAGAAGAATTTCTGTCAGAAAACCCTTAAAACTAACTACTTCCAGGATAGTGACTTAACAAATACATACTCATGAGTAAAATTTGGTTGGAATACGTGTTGAACATTAAACTTAAGCAGTAAATGAATGCGCACTCCTGAATAGTCCCACATTAGGACATAAGGATCATTCACTGCTTTCATATTTTTAATGGTAGTTTAGTTAAGATCATTTCATGATTTAAAGCCTATATAAATGATATAATCTGCTTATTTATCAGGTTAGTCAACACTATATGTGCATCAGGTTAGTAAGTCTGTGTAACACTTTTCACAATACCTAAGAAGCTATTAACTCACTTACTATATAAATATTCCTAAATCTACCGGAAAACTACTATTTTAGTGTACTTCAAGCAGAGACATGATAAACTCAACAAATTCAAGATAGCTCTCAACAATAAGGAGATCTGGGCAAATGTGAAAACTACAAAGGCATAGCACTACTATCGGTACCATGAATGTTTTCAACAGAGTGTTGCTGAACCAGAATAAAGACTCAGGTGACGCCCAACTTTGAGATCATCAGGCTGGATTCTGTAAGGATCGGTCGTGCACAGACCAAATTGCGACACTACGGTTCATCGTTAAACAATCAATTGAATGGAAGTCGTCACTATACATAAACTTTCTTGATTATAAAAAAACATTTGACAGTATGAACACGAGAACATTATGGAACCTCCTTCGACACTATGGTGTACCTGAGAAAATCGTCAACACCATCCGGAATTCATATGATGTAAAGTTGTGTATAGAGGACAGCTGACAGATGTATTAGAAGTTAGGACCGGAGTCAGACAAGGCTGCTCACTCTCTCCCTTCCTCTCTCTTCCGGTTGTTGACTGAATTATGAAGACCTCCATGTCTGACGGAAGCACGGAATACAATGAACAGCTAGCATGCAACTAGACGATTTGAACTTCGCAGATAACCTAGCTCTTCTATCCCATACACACTAACAGATGCAGGTCAAGACAGCTAGTGTTGTAGCAGCCTATGCATCAGTAGGCCTCAACATAAACAAGGGATAAAGCAAGGTCCTGAAATAAAACACAGAGTACATAAATCAAATCACGCTTTAGGATGACTTTTACATATCAGCAGCATTGTCGATAAACACGGAAGATGTGATGCAGATGAAAACGCACAGATCTGCAAAGCAAGAGCAGCGCATCTACAACTGAAGAGTATGTGGAACAACTTTCAACCAATATCAAAGCCAGAATTTTCAATACAAACGTTAAGATATTTCTACTGCACGGAGCTGAAACTTCAAGAACTACTACAACCATAATCAAAATGGTACAAGGATTTATAGACAATTTTCTACACAAATCACTCAGTGTCAGTTGGTAAGATACCATCAGCAACAGCCTATTGTGTGAGCGA